AAGAGCCAAAGATGTCAGCTCTGTCATGTGATCAGCTGTGTCCAATCACAGCTGATCACATGTAAACAGGGAAATGACGGTTATCGGCATTTCTCTCTCCACGAGCTGTCACGCTGACAGAGGAGAGGAGCGGAGAGCCAGTAATCGGCATTCCTCGGAGGGGACATGTACACTGATCATCAGAGCACGTATGATCAGTGTGCCCTGATGATCCGTGTAGCCCCAGCAGCGCCACCTATCAGTGTCCATCAGTGCCAGCTCTCAGTGCTCATCCATGCCACCTGCCAGTGCCATCTGAACTGCCTTTCAGTGTCACCCATCAGTGTCACCTCTCAGTGCCAGTCAGTGCCGCCTATCAGTGCCATATATGAGTGCAGCCTCTCAGTGCCCATCAGTGCAGCCTCATTAGCGCACATCAGTGAATGAGAAAACCACTTATTTACAAAATTTTATAACAAAAACTAAGAAAAAATTTTTTTTTCAAAATTTTCTGTGGTTTTTGGTTTAAGAAAACATAGCCCCAAGCCCCCCCCCCCCCCTCAAGGTGATTAAATACCACCAAATAAAAGCTCTATCTGTCACAAAAAAATGATAAAAATTGTCATTAAAAATGCAACAGCGCTGAAAGATGGAAATTGGCTTGGGCAGGGAGGGGGTAGAAGTGCCCGGTGGGCAGGGAGGGGGTAGAAGTGCCCGGTGGGCAGGAAGGGGGTAGAAGTGTCCTGTGGGCAGGAAGAGGGCGGAAGTGCCCGGTGGGCAGAAAGGAGGTAGAAGTGCCCGGTAGGCAGGAAGGGGGTAGAAGTGCCCGGTAGGAAGGAAAGGGGTAGAAGCGCCCAGTGGGCAGGAAGGGGGTAAAAATGCCCTGTAGGCAGGAAAGGGGTAGAAGTGCCCGGGGGGCAGGAAGGGGGTAGAAGTGCCCGGTGGGTAGGAAGGGGGCGGAAGTGGCTGGTAGGCAGGAAGGGGGCAGAAGTGCCTGGTAGGGGTAGAAGGGGGTAGAAGTGCCCGGTGGGCAGGAAGGGGGTAGAAGTGTCCTGTGGGCAGGAAGAGGGCGGAAGTGCCCGGTGGGCAGGAAGGGGGCGGAAGTGGCCGGTAGGCAGGGAGGGGGCAGAAGTGCCCTGTAGGCAGGGAGGGGCAGAAGTGCCCTGTAGGCAGGGAGGGGGCAGAAGTGCCCTGTAGGCAGGGAGGGGGCAGAAGTGCCTGGTAGGCAGGGAGGGGGCAGAAGTGCCCTGTAGGCAGGGAGGGGGCAGAAGTGCCCTGTAGGCAGGGAGGGGGCAGAAGTGTCCGGTAGGCAGGAAAGGGGTAGAAGTGTCCGGTAGGCAGGAAGGGGGTAGAAGTGTCCGGTAGGCGAGGGGTTAAACATTTCTGCTATTTCTGCCTCAGTTGGCATCTGTAAACTCTCCTCTCGTTCTTCTACTTGATCCATATCCAGTTCTTCTTCCGTATGGTGACCACTGTTGGCTATTCCCAGGGATAGTCTGGACCGTTCCCCGCCATTTTCCCTCTCACCTCTTATTCCCTGTTGTCTCTCTGGAGTCTGTTTCTCCTGTGGGGGTATATATTTTTTAATTGCCCCTGTTTGGGAATCCTTAGGCCCTCCTCACTTTGATACTTTGTTTTTCATGCTTTCAGGGACTATTTCCTTTTTCCGCAGTTCTGGTTGGTTCTGGTCCTTTTTTCTCCCCCCCCCCCCCCCCCCCCCCCCCCACTCCAGAACTCATCTACCCGGGTCCTCTTCTTCTAGGTCTTTATCTGTTTTACATTGTCCTCCTTCTGATTTTCCTCTAAGACCCCCTGGGTGGACCCCTCCTCAGTTTCAACATATAGTTCAGGACATACAGTTCAGTTCCCATGTAATATATTAATCTCAGTACTTTTGCCGCTCTCACTCCCCCTCTTGTCCCCAATATGGCTTTTCCCCCGTATGAGATCTCTGTCATATATGAAGAAAAGGGCTTCTCTGAAAAACATTTCCCGCACTCCGGACAGGAATACAACTTCTCCATGTAAGATCTCTGACAGACATATGGCTTTTCACCTGTGTAAGATCTCTGATATACAGGTGAAACTCGAAAAATGAGAATCTGGTGCATTCATTCATTCATTCATTCACTCACTGATTTCAGTGCAGCAACTTAAAAGGTGACACTAATATATGAGACTCATTCCATGCAAAGCAAGATAGTTCCAGCCGTGATTTGTCATCATTGTGATGATTATGGCTTACAGCTCATGAAAACCCCAAATCCACAATCTCAGAAAATGAGAATATTGTGAAAAGGTGGAATAATCTCGGCTCAAAGTGTCCCACTCTAATCAGCTCATTCAGCCATAACACCTGCAAAGGGTTCCTGAGCCTTTCAATGGTCTCTCAGTCTGGTTCTGGGCTAAAGAAACACAGACCTGGTCTGCTGCTCAGTGGTCCAAAGTCCTCTTTTCTGATGAGAGCAACTTTTACATCTCATTTGGAAACCAAGGACCCCGAGTATGGAGGAAGAATGGAGAGGCCCAAGGACCCCGAGTATGGAGGAAGAATGGAGAGGCCCAAGGACCCCGAGTATGGAGGAAGAATGGAGAGGCCCAAGGACCCCGAGTATGGAGGAAGAATGGAGAGGCCCAAGGACCCCGAGTATGGAGGAAGAATGGAGAGGCCCAAGGACCCCGAGTACGGAGGAAGAATGGAGAGGCCCAAGGACCCCGAGTATGGAGGAAGAATGGAGAGGCCCAAGGACCCCGAGTATGGGAGAAGAATGGAGAGGCCCGAGGACCCCGAGTATGGGAGAAGAATGGAGAGGCCCGAGGACCCCGAGTATGGAGGAAGAATGGAGAGGCCCGAGGACCCCGAGTATGGAGGAAGAATGGAGAGGCCCGAGGGCCCCGAGTATGGAGGAAGAACGGAGAGGCCCGAGGACCCCGAGCACGGGGGAAGAACGGAGAGGCCCGAGGACCCCGAGCACGGGGGAAGAACGGAGAGGCCCGAGGACCCCGAGCACGGGGAAGAATGGAGAGGCACGAGGACCCCGAGTATGGAGGAAGAATGGAGAGGCCCGAGGACCCCGAGTATGGAGGAAGAATGGAGAGGCCCGAGGGCCCCGAGTATGGAGGAAGAATGGAGAGGCACGAGGACCCCGAGTATGGAGGAAGAATGGAGAGGCACGAGGACCCCGAGTATGGAGGAAGAATGGAGAGGCCCGAGGGCCCCGAGTATGGAGGAAGAATGGAGAGGCACGAGGGCCCCGAGTATGGAGGAAGAATGGAGAGGCACGAGGGCCCCGAGTATGGAGGAAGAATGGAGAGGCCCGAGGGCCCCGAGTATGGAGGAAGAATGGAGAGGCACGAGGACCCCGAGTATGGAGGAAGAATGGAGAGGCCCGAGGGCCCAGAGTATGGAGGAAGAATGGAGAGGCCCGAGGGCCCCGAGTATGGAGGAAGAATGGAGAGGCACGAGGGCCCCGAGTATGGAGGAAGAATGGAGAGGCACGAGGGCCCCGAGTATGGAGGAAGAATGGAGAGGCCCGAGGGCCCCGAGTATGGAGGAAGAATGGAGAGGCACGAGGACCCCGAGTATGGAGGAAGAATGGAGAGGCACGAGGACCCCGAGTATGGAGGAAGAATGGAGAGGCACGAGGGCCCCGAGTATGGAGGAAGAATGGAGAGGCCCGAGGGCCCCGAGTATGGAGGAAGAATGGAGAGGCCCGAGGGCCCCGAGTACGGAGGAAGAATGGAGAGGCCCGAGGGCCCCGAGTACGGAGGAAGAATGGAGAGGCCCGAGGACCCCGAGTACGGAGGAAGAATGGAGAGGCCCGAGGACCCCGAGTACGGAGGAAGAATGGAGAGGCCCGAGGACCCCGAGTACGGAGGAAGAATGGAGAGGCCCGAGGACCCCGAGTACGGAGGAAGAATGGAGAGGCCCGAGGACCCCGAGTACGGAGGAAGAATGGAGAGGCCCGAGGACCCCGAGTACGGAGGAAGAATGGAGAGGCCCAAGGACCCCGAGTACGGAGGAAGAATGGAGAGGCCCAAGGGCCCCGAGTATGGAGGAAGAATGGAGAGGCACACACTGCAAGATGCTTGAAGTCCAGTGTAAAGTTTCCACAGTCTGTTGATTTGGGGAGCCATGTCATCTGCTGGTGTTGGTCCACTGTGCTTCATTAAGTCCAGGGTCACTGCAGCCGTCTACCAGGAGATTTTGGAGCACTTCATGCTTCCTTCCACAGACGAGCTTTATGGGGAGGCTGACTTCATTTTCCTGCAGGACTTGGCTCCGCCCACACTGCCAAAACCACCAAAACCTGGTTCAATGACCGTGGGATGACTGTGCTTGATTGGCCAGCAAACTCACCTGACCTGAACCCCATAGAGAATCTATGGGGCATTGCCAAGAGAAAGATGAGAGACATGAGACCCAACAATGCAGAAGAGCTGAAGGCCGCTATTGAAGCATCCTGGTCTTCCATAACACCTCAGCAGTGCCACAGGCTGATAGCTTCCATGCCACGCCGCATTGAGGCAGTAATTGCTGCAAAAGGGGCCCCAACCAAGTACTGCGTACATATGCAGCTTCTACTTCTCAGAGGTGCGATATTGTTCTATGTACAATCCGTGTTTTATTGATTGCATGGAATATTCTCATTTTCTGAGATTGTGGATTTGGGGTTTTCATGAGCTGGAAGCCATAATCATCACAATGATGACAAATCACGGCTGGAACTATCTTGCTTTGCATGGAATGAGTCTCATATATTAGTTTCACCTTTTAAGTTGCTGCACTGAAATCAATGAACTTTTGCACCATATTCTCATTTTTCGTGTTTTACCTGTATATAAAGTCTAGACTTATCTGAGAAAACATTTCTCGCACGTAGAACAGGGATATAGCGTCTTCCTCATGAGGTCTCTGATATATATGCAGGCTGGACTTCTGTGAAAAAAATTTCCCACACTCTGAACAAGGGCATGGCTGCTCTCTTTTGTGTTATCACTGGTATATATAAAAATAGGACTTACATGAAAAACATTTTCCGCACTCCGGACAGGTATGCAACTTCTCCTCCGTGTAAGATCTCTGATGTGTGTGAAGACAGCTTCACTGAAAAGTATTTCCCGCACCCAGGACAGACATATAGCTTTTTACCTGTGTAAGATCTCTGATATATGTAAAGTCTAGTTTTGTCTGAGAAAACATTTCCCGCACTTAGAACAGGGATATAGTATCTTCCTCATGTGAGGTCTCTGATCTATATGCAGACTGGACTTCTGTGAAAAACATTTCCCGCACTCTGAACAAGGGTATGGCTGCTCCTTTTTGTATTATCACTGGTATATATAAAAATAGGACTTACATGAAAAACATTTCCCGCACTCGAAACAGGAATACTTCTCCCCCATGTGAGATCTCTGGTTTCTATGGGATTGAACTTCTCAGAGATTTTCCCACACACTTTAGGACATCTCTTCCTTTACTCCAAGTGAGGGGTGAGGCGGCTCCATATACTCTCTTCTGGGAAACATTGCACTTGACATTCCCCTCACACAATGAGTGGATTTGGGGGGGTTCACCCAGCCCGTTTCCACGTGTCTCCAGCTGCCACGGTCCTGTGTGCAGGAGGAAGAGAGCCGGCATCTCCCTTGCTCCAAGAAACGCCGGCCGGCTCCTCTTCCACTGGGCTCCGGGGAACACAAAGCACCGGGCTGAGAGCACAGGAAGACCCGCTGCGATGGCCGCCACTCCCGGAGGTCCTCGGTCCATGCACCCTGCCAGGCGAGCCCCCCCCCCCCTCTCCCCGGCTAGTCTCTCCAGGGCTTCCCGCACATCTCTCCCCTTCTCGGCAGGACACTGGAGGAGCTTGGGAGCCGGGACCCCTCACATCGAGGTCCTGCACCAAGCCATGGTCAGGCTCCTTCCTGGGTGTGGTCCTGTGATCAGTGTTCCACTCTAATACCCTCTTCTGCCTCCTGTATCCTCCCGTATACCCCCATAGATTGTAAGCTCTTTTGCCCCGTGTCCTCCCGTATACCCCCATAGATTGTAAGCTCTTCCGCCTCCTGTATCCCCCCGTATACCCCAATAGATTGTAAGCTCTTCCGTCTTCTATATCCTCCCTTATATCCCAATAGATTGTAAGCTCTTCTGCCTCCTGTATCCCCCCGTATACCCCCATAGATTGTAAGCTCTTCCGCCTCCTGTATCCCCCCGTATACCCCAATAGATTGTAAGCTCTCTTCCGTCTTCTATATCCTCCCTTATATCCCAATAGATTGTAAGCTCTTCTGCCTCCTGTATCCCCCCGTATACCCCAATAGATTGTAAGCTCTTCCGTCTTCTATATCTTCCCTTATACCCCAATAGATTGTAAGCTCTTCTACCTCCTGTATAACCCAATAGATTGTAAGCTCTTCCACCTCTTGTATCCTCCCGTATACCCCCATAGATTGTAAGCTCTTCTGCCTCCTGTATCCTCCCGTATACCCCCATAGATTGTAAGCTCTTCTACCTCCTGTATCCTCCCGTATACCCCCATAGATTGTAAGCTCTTCCACCTCCCGTATACCCCCATAGATTGTAAGCTCTTCTGCCTCCTGTCCCCCTCCCGTATACCCCAATAGATTGTAAGCTCTTCTGCCTCCTGTATCCTCCGGTATACCCCCATAGATTGTAAGCTCTTCTGCCTCCTGTATCCTCCGGTATACCCCATAGATTGTAAGCTCTTCTGCCTTCTATATCCTCCCTTATATCCCAATAGATTGTAAGCTCTTCTACCTCCTGTATCCTCCCGTATACCCCCATAGATTGTAAGCTCTTCTACCTCCTGTATCCTCCCGTATACCCCCATAGATTGTAAGCTCTTCTGCCTCCTGTCCCCTCCCGTATACCCCAATAGATTGTAAGCTCTTCTGCCTCCTGTCCCCTCCCGTATACCCCAATAGATTGTAAGCTCTTCTGCCCCCTCCCGTATACCCCAATAGATTGTAAGCTCTTCTGCCTTCTGTATCCTCCCGTATACCCCAATAGATTGTAAGCTCTTCTGCCTCCTGTCCCCCCTCCCGTATACCCCCATAGATTGTAAGCTCTTCTGCCTCCTGTCCCCTCCCGTATACCCCCATAGATTGTAAGCTCTTCTACCTCCTGTATCCTCCCGTATACCCCATAGATTGTAAGCTCTTCTGCCTCCTGTATCCCCCCGTATACCCCAATAGATTGTAAGCTCTTCTACCTCCTGTATCCTCCCGTATACCCCCATAGATTGTAAGCTCTTTTGCCCCGTGTCCTCCCTTATACCCCCATAGATTGTAAGCTCTTCTGCCTCCTGTATCCTCCCGTATACCCCCAATAGATTGTAAGCTCTTCTACCTTCTGTATCCTCCCGTATACCCCCAATAGATTGTAAGCTCTTCTGCCTCCTGTATCCTCCCTTATACCCCAATAGATTGTAAGCTCTTCTGCCTCCTGTATCCTCCCGTATACCCCCATAGATTGTAAGCTCTTCTGCCTCCTGTATCCTCCCGTATACCCCCATAGATTGTAAGCTCTTCTACCTCCTGTATCCTCCCGTATACCCCCATAGATTGTAAGCTCTTTTGCCCCGTGTCCTCCCTTATACCCCAATAGATTGTAAGCTCTTTTGCCCCGTGTCCTCCCGTATACCCCCATAGATTGTAAGCTCTTCTACCTTCTGTATCCTCCCGTATACCCCCAATAGATTGTAAGCTCTTCTGCCTTCTGTATCCTCCCGTATACCCCCAATAGATTGTAAGCTCTTCTGCCTCCTGTATCCTCCCGTATACCCCCAATAGATTGTAAGCTCTTCTGCCTCCTGTATCCTCCCGTATACCCCCAATGGATTGTAAGCTCTTCTGCCTCCTGTATCCTCCCGTATACCCCCATAGATTGTAAGCTCTTCTGCCTCCTGTATCCTCCCGTATACCCCCATAGATTGTAAGCTCTTCTGCCTCCTGTATCCTCCCGTATATACCCCCATAGATTGTAAGCTCTTCTGCCTCCTGTATCCTCCCGTATACCCCCATAGATTGTAAGCTCTTCTGCCTCCTGTATCTTCCCGTATACCCCCAATAGATTGTAAGCTCTTCTACCTCCTGTATCCTCCCTTATACCCTAATAGATTGTAAGCTCTTCTGCCTCCTGTCCCCTCCTGTATACCCCATAGATTGTAAGCTCTTCCGCCTCCTGTATCCTCCCGTATACCCCCATAGATTGTAAGCTCTTCCGCCTCCTGTATCCTCCCTTATACCCCCATAGATTGTAAGCTCTTCCGCCTCCTGTATCCTCCCGTATACCCCATAGATTGTAAGCTCTTCTGCCTCCTGTATCCTCCTGTATACCCCCATAGATTGTAAGCTCTTCTGCCTCCTGTATCCTCCCGTATACCCCCATAGATTGTAAGCTCTTCTGCCTCCTGTATCCTCCCGTATACCCCATAGATTGTAAGCTCTTCTGCCTCCTGTCCCCTCCCGTATACCCCATAGATTGTAAGCTCTTCTGCCTCCTGTATCCTCCCGTATACCCCATAGATTGTAAGCTCTTCTGCCTCCTGTATCCTCCCGTATACCCCATAGATTGTAAGCTCTTCTGCCTCCTGTCCCCTCCCGTATACCCCATAGATTGTAAGCTCTTCTGCCTCCTGTCCCCTCCCGTATACCCCATAGATTGTAAGCTCTTCTGCCTCCTGTATCCTCCCGTATACCCCCATAGATTGTAAGCTCTTCTGCCTCCTGTATCCTCCCGTATACCCCCATAGATTGTAAGCTCTTCTGCCTCCTGTATCCTCCCGTATACCCCATAGATTGTAAGCTCTTCTGCCTCCTGTCCCCTCCTGTATACCCCATAGATTGTAAGCTCTTCTGCCTCCTGTATCCTCCCGTATACCCCAATAGATTGTAAGCTCTTCTGCCTCCTGTATCCTCCCTTATACCCCCATAGATTGTAAGCTCTTCCGCCTCCTGTATCCTCCCGTATACCCCCATAGATTGTAAGCTCTTCCGCCTCCTGTATCCTCCCGTATACCCCAATAGATTGTAAGCTCTTCTACCTCCTGTATCCTCCCGTATACCCCCATAGATTGTAAGCTCTTCTACCTCCTGTATCCTCCCCCCAGTCATTGAAAATGAAGGGCTGGGCACACTGCAGTCTGGAGACAGCGGACTGATGCCATCTTCTGGTGAGAAGAGAGTACTGCGGGGGGAGCATTGCACTGATGATGAACATTGGATCCCCCGGATTGGACGCGGCTTTTTGGGGGAAAAGATTCTGACATTTCTGTAATTAAATAACAGGAATCGTCCAGGTTTGAGGAATTATAACATTTATACCCAAAAATATAGCTGTAATATATGTCTGTCAGTCCTGAGAGGTGGCGGCTGTATTAGTTTTTCTAAATGCTCCAGTTTTAGTAAATCTCCCGCCTGTGCAGCTCATTGGTCTTCTGAGGGCTTTGCCTTTCCCCTGTCACCTGCTTGCTTTATTTATTTACCCCCCCCCCCCCATTAATTGCTGTCATTTGGACACCTTTATTGATGGTAGACTCTTATTCCTTTACAGTGTAGATTGTAGAGACCTTTATGGTTGTTGGAGCCGTTATCATCTGTACCACGTCCTAGATGCAATTCTCAGCTACACCAAGTATTGGCCCCGCCCTCCCAATCATGTGATTCAGGTGCTCCAATCCCATCCATATCATGTGATTCAGGTGTCCCAATACCTGCCCCATATCAAGTGAATCATGCTCCAATCCCCTCCATATCATGTGATTCAGGTGTCCCAATACCCGCCCCATATCAAGTGATTCAGGTGCTCCAATCCCATCCATATCATGTGATTCAGGTGTTCCAATCCCCTCCGTATCATGTGATTCAGGTGTTCCAATCCCCTCTGTATCATGTGATTCAGGCGCTCCAATCCCCTCCATATCATGTGATTCAGGAGTCCCAATACCCGCCCCATATCAAGTGATTCAGGTGCTCCAATCCCCTCCATATCATGAGATTCAGGTGTTCCAATCCCCTCCATATCATGTGATTCAGGTGCTCCAATCCCCTCCCAATCACATGATTCGGGTGTTCCAGTCCCCTCCATATCACGTGATTCGGGTGCTCCATTCCCCTCCATATCACGTGATTCGGGTGTTCCAATCCCCTCCAAATCACGTGATTCGGGTGTTCCAATCCCCTCCAAATCACGTGATTCGGGTGTTCCAATCCCCTCCATATCATGTGATTCGGGTGTTTCAATCCCCTCCATATCATGTGATTCGGGTGTTCCAATCCCCTCCAAATCATGTGATTCGGGTGTTCCAATCCCCTCCATATCATGGGATTTAGGTGTTCCAATCCCCTCCATGGACACAGGTGTATACAATCCATCCCCTAGACATGCAGACGGCTTCTACAAACATTGGTGAAAGAATGGGTCGCTCTCAGGAGCTCAGTGACTCCAAGCGTGGTCCCGTGATAGGTGGCCACCTGGGCAATAAGTCCATCCGTGACATTTCCTGGCTACTAAATATTCCACGCTCAACTGTTAGTGGGATTATAACAAAGTGGAAGCCACTGGGAACAACAGCCACTCAGCCACCAAGTGGTAGGCCACGTCACATGACAGGGCGGGGTCAGCGCATGCTGAAGCGCACAGTGCGCAGAAGTCACCAACTGTCTGCAGAGTCAATAGCTAAAGACCTCCAAACTTGGTGTGGCCTTCAGATGAGCCCAACAACAGTGCGTAGAGAGCTTCATGGAATGGGTTTCCATGGCCGAGCAGCTGCATCCAAGCCTTCCATCACCAAGTGCAATGCAAAGCGTCGGATGCCGTGGTGTAAAGCACACCGCCACTGGACTCTACAGCAGAGGGGGCGTGTTCTTTGGTGTGACCAATCACACTTCTCTGTCTGGAAATCCGATGGACGTGTCTGGGTTTGGCGGTGGCCAGGAGAATGGTACTTGTGCCAAGTGTAAAGTTTGGTGGAGGGGGGATTATGGTGAGGGAGTGTTCCTCAGGGGTTGGGCTTGGCCCCCTAGTTCTATTGGATTTAGGTCAGGTGAGCGTGGGGGCCATTCAATGGTATCAATTCCTTCATTCTCCAGGAACTGCCGGCATTCTCTCCCCACAAGAGGCCAGACATTGTCATGCACCAGGAGGAACCCAGGACCCACCGCACCAGGAGGAACCCGGGACTGACAATGGGTCCAAGGATTTCATCCCCATACCTAATGGCAGTCAGGGGGCCATTGTCTAGCCTGTAGAGGTCTGTGTGTCCCTCCATGGATATGCCTCCCCAGACCATCACTGACCCCCACCACCACAACGGTCATGCTGAACCATGTTACAGGCAGCAGAACGTTCTCCACGGCTTCTCCAGACCCTTTCACGTCTGTCACATGTGCTCAGGGGGAACCTGCTCTCCTCTGTGAGAAGCTCAGGGCACCAGTGATGGACCGGCCAATTCTGGTGTTCAATGGCCAATGCCAATCCAGCTCTATGGTGCCGGGCAGTGAGCACAGGGGCCACTGGAGGACGTCGGGCCCTCAGGCCACCCTCATGAAGTCTGTTTCTGATTGTTTGGTCAGAGACATTCCCACCAGTGGCCTGCTGGAGGTCATTTTGTAGGGTTCTGGCAGGGATCATCCTGGTCCTCCTTGTACAAAGGAGCAGATACCGGTCCTGCTGATGGGTTAAGGACCTTCTACAGCCCTGTCCAGCCCTCCTAGAGGAACTGCCTGTCTCCTGGAATCTCCTCCGCGCTCTCGTCTCCCGGAGTCTCCTCCGCGCTCTCGTCTCCCGGTGTCTCCTCCGCGCTCTCTCGTCTCCCGGAGTCTCCTCCGCGCTCTCGTCTCCCGGAGTCTCCTCCGCGCTCTCGTCTCCCGGTGTCTCCTCCGCGCTCTCGTCTCCCGGTATCTCCTCCGCGCTCTCGTCTCCCGGAATCTCCTCCGCGCTCTCGTCTCCCGGAACCTCCTCCGCGCTCTCGTCTCCCGGAACCTCCTCCGCGCTCTCGTCTCCCGGAACCTCCTCCGCGCTCTCGTCTCCCGGAACCTCCTCCGCGCTCTCGTCTCCCGGAACCTCCTCCGCGCTCTCGTCTCCCGGAACCTCCTTCGCGCTCTCGTCTCCCGGAACCTCCTCCGCGCTCTCGTCTCCCGGAAACTCCTCCGCGCTCTCGTCTCCCGGAATCTCCTCCGTGCTCCTGAGACTGTGCTGGGAGACACAGCAAACCTTCTGGCAATGGCAGGTATTGATGTGACATCCTGGAGGAGTTGGACTGCCTGTACAACCTCTGTAGGGTCCAGGTATGGCCTCATGGTACCAGTAGTGACACCGACCCGAGCCAAATGCAAAACGAGTGAAAAAACAGTCAGAAAAGATGAGGAGGGAAAAAATGTCAGTGTCCTCCACCTGTAACCATTCCTGTTTTGGGGGTTGTCTCATTGTTGCCCATCTGGTTCCCCTGTTGGTAATTTCATGAACACCAAAGCAGCTGAATCTGATGAACATCCCCCTCTGCGACTTACCTGACCAGATCCTCTGCGACTTCCCTGACCAGATCCATATCCCGGGAGGTTCATCGATGGCGGGCATTCTGACACTGGGCTGGAACTGACTTGGTGTCACTGAGGATGTCAGTATATGGCGGTATATATATATATACGGGGATTTTTTTTATACTAGTAATGGCGGTGATCAGCGACTTATAGCGGGACTGCAGCGGGCATTCTGACACTGGGGGGGGGGGGGGGGGGGGGCTGACTTGGTGTCACTGACATCCCCAGTGACATCAATACAGTGATTGGTGCTAATAAAAAGCCCCGACACTGTACTAATGGCACTGGGCAGGAAGGGGTTAACATCTGGGGCAATCAAAGGGTTAACTGTGTGCTGTGTGTGTTTCACTGTGAGCATGCTGCTACGCAGAGCCATACAAAGCAGTGTGCAGGAGCTGACAGGGGAGAGATCTGTGTTGTTCACATGTCGTTCTCTCCCTTCGTGATCACCGGGTGCCGGCGAGTAATCACCGAAACCGCGAATAGCGACGCGACTCACGTGCGCCCCCGTACCCGGGAATATATATACACACGTGATTTTGCACACCCCTGCCGCCCTGTCGCGGTATTCCTGCTATAGGGCGGTGGGAGAGCGCTTAAAGCAGTAGTAAACTGTTTACAAAAACAATAAAAAAAAAACAAAAAAGCAAAAAAAAAAAAACAACAAACAATAAAAAAGCAAAAAAGCAAAACAAAAAATAAAACAAAAAAAAACAAACAAAAAAAAAAAAAAAAAAAAGAAGTGTCGCCCCCTGCAGGTTTCCACCATGACATGCTGGTATTCGCAGGACAATAGGGTATCATGTCAGACTCGCCTACAAAACGAATCCCTCAAGCGGCGCTCCGAATCCCATCGTCACCCGCTCTTCCTTCCAGGTTAGTGGGCTCCGGCCGTTTGAATGGCTGAGCCGCGATGACGTCACGAGCGCGGCGCGGCACTCTGAATGGGCGGCACACTGGAGTCGGCGGTCCGTGCTCCGGTGACACGTCGGAAGATCTCCCAGTTTAGGAGTCGCTGTCCCTAGGTCAGGGGTCGGCAACCTGCGGCTCTCTAGCTGTTGTGGAACTACATCTCCCATGAGGCATTGCAAAGATGACAAAGCTGACAGTTCCAGCTATGACTTGCAGAGGCATGATGGGACTTGTAGTCCTGCGCCTAGAGGAAGGCTTCCTGGATATGGGGCCGTCCTGTCTATTTGGGGAATTGGTGACCGTCCAATCACAGCGACTTGTTATAAAAAAACACATAACACGCTCGGTTTTTACTGGTACAACTTTATTTATAACTGAAAAAATACAACAAAATCTTTAGCAGCTTTCATTGCGAGTCTAAAAAATGAACTTAAAGGGGATGTCCGCCTCAGACATGAAAAATGAACAAAGCAGATCCCTCTGTAGTGTGTCCTGGTCTCAGTCCAGAGCACTGAGCGTCATTTCTGTCTGCTGCCTCCTAACTCTGATATGAGTCACTCCTGACACCAAGAGAAAAATGGTGACGGGAGGGAGCTCCAGCACACAGTCTGTGATTGACAGCCTCAGCTCTGTTCTTGTGTGATGGGGGGGGGGGTGTCCTGCCTTCAGTCACCTCTCCGCCCCCTTTTTTCTGAATTCTCAGACAAGCTTTATAAATTTAGCACTTTAAACAGATGTAGAAAGTACTGAACCATTGGCTCCTGCCTGTGAAGAAGGCGACGGGAGGTGCGCTGTGTGTGTCTATGGAAGCACACAGCCGGGCTCGGGGGGGTGGGTGTGCCCCCCTCATCACAGTCAAAGGAGGTGAACTGTGTGCGGGGAGGGGGGGGGCTCCAGATAAGGAGGACAGGGACTGCCGTTGCACAGTCCCGGGAGGTAAGGGACCACCGTCGCACAGACCAGGGAGGGAGGACAGGGACCGCCGTCGCACAGACCGGGGAGGGAGAACAGGGACCGCCGTCGCACAGACCCGGCAGGGAGGACAGGGACCGCCGTCGCACAGACCAGGGAGGGAGGACAGGGACCGCCGTCGCACAGACCCAGGAGGACAGGGACCGCCGTCGCACAGACCCGGGAGGTAAGGGACCACCGTCGCACAGACCAGGGAGGGAGGACAGGGACCGCCGTCGCACAGACCAGGGAGGGAGGACAGGGACCGCCGTCGCACAGACCAGGGAGGGAGGACAGGGACCGCCGTCGCACAGACCAGGGAGGGAGGACAGGGACCGCCGTCGCACAGACCAGGGAGGGAGGACAGGGACCGCCGTCGCACAGACCAGGGAGGGAGGACAGGGACCGCCGTCTCACAGACCCAGGGAGGGAGGACAGGGACCGCCGTCTCACAGACCCGGGAGGGAGGACAGTGACCGCCGTCGCACAGACCGGCAGGGAGGACAGTGACCGCCGTCGCACAGACCAGGGAGGGAGGACAGGGACCGCCGTCGCACAGACCAGGGAGGGAGGACAGGGACCGCCGTCGCACAGACCAGGGAGGGAGGACAGGGACCGCCGTCGCTCACAGACCAGGGAGGGAGGACAGGGACCGCCGTCGCACAGACCCGGGAGGACAGGGACCGCCGTCGCACAGACCAGGGAGGGAGGACAGGGACCGCCGTCGCACAGACCAGGGAGGGAGGACAGGGACCGCCGTCGCACAGACCAGGGAGGGAGGACAGGGACCGCCGTCGCACAGACCAGGGAGGGAGGACAGGGACCGCCGTCGCACAGACCAGGGAGGGAGGACAGGGACCGCCGTCGCACAGACCAGGGAGGGAGGACAGGGACCCGCCGTCGCACAGACCCGGGAGGACAGGGACCGCCGTCGCACAGACCAGGGAGGTAGAAAACGTTTTATTATTTTATGAAAAAATATATTTTTCGCCTTTTATATAAATTTGTGCAAATTAGAAATGTCAGCGCGACGCAACCCCACCAAAACCCCGCCCAAACCACACCCAACCCCACCCAAACCACACCCAACCCCACCCAAACCCCACCCAAACCGCTTCCAAACCCCGCCCAAACCGCGTGCATTTTGACCTCACGGTCCGCCCGCTAAGCTTCTCTGCAGATTGGAGGATGCGTCTGTTTACAAAGCGGGCGTGGCAGGGGGAGTGGTTTGACAGCAAGGCTTCTTATTGGAGCCGCTGTCGATCCTCAAGGGCGGGGTGGTGGGGGCAGGGAGAGTAACTTCAAGAAGAACAAAACCGATTCCCAAACTGACCATGCCAGGCATGGATCGTCTTCCACGCCCGGCGTGGTCAGACTACAGGGAGGAAAGGGGATCCGGTACAAATAAAAGCACACGGACGCACCCACCAAATATTACTCGTCCTGTGAAACCGAACAATTGTCCTGTGCAAATGGAGGCAAAAATATTCTGTATAAAGAATAACATTCGACCCGGAGAAAACACACCGATGACATTCGACCCGGAGAGAAAACACACCGAGGACATTCGACCCGGAGAGAAAACACACCGAGGACATTCGACCCGGAGAGAAAACACACCGAGGACATTCGACCCGGAGAGAAAAAACACACAGAGGACATTCGACCCGGAGAGAAAACACACAGAGGACATTCGACCCGGAGAGAAAACACACCGAGGACATTCGACCCGGAGAGAAAACACACCGATGACATTCGACCCGGAGAGAAAACACACCGATGACATTCGACCCGGAGAGAAAACACATCGATGACATTCGACCCGGAGAGAAAACACACCGATGACATTCGACCGGGAGAGAAAACACACCGAGGACATTCGACCCGGAGAGAAAAACACACCGAGGACATTCGACCCGAGAGAGAAAAACACACAGAGGACATTCGACCCGGAGAGAAAACACACCGAGGACATTCGACCAGGAGAGAAAACACACCGAGGACATTCGACCCGGAGAGAAAACACACAGAGGACATTCGAGAGGACCCGGAGAGAAAACACACAGAGGACATTCGACCCGGAGACAAAAAACACACCAATAACATTCGACCTGGAGAGAAAACACACCGAGGACATTCGACCTGGAGAGAAAACACCGAGGACATTCGACCTGAAGAAAAAAACACACCGAAGACATTCGACACTAAAAATATTCGACCCGGAGAGAAAACACACTGATAACATTCGACCCAGAGAGAACACACCGAGGACATTCGATTTGGAGAGAAAACGCACCAATAACATTAGACTCGGAGAGAAAAACACAACGATGACATTCGACCCGGAGAGAAAACACACTAAAAATATTCGACCTGGAGAGAAAATACACCGATAACATTAGATCCAGAGAAAATACACTGATGACATTCGACCCAGGGAGAAAACACACCGATGACATTAGTGGTGTGACCCTCCTGCGCTCCAAATAATGTGTTTAAACAATTAACAAATAAAATAAATGAACCCCAAACAGCTGCTAGCATTAAATCATATACCAATGATCAAGTGAATATAAACCATATAAATGCTGCGCTACATTCAAAAATAAAAGTGAATGTGGAATCCAATGACATAAATCAATATAGTGACAATAAAAAACCATATAAATGCTGCGCTATATTCAAACTAATTAAAGTGAATGTGGAATTAAATAACTTAAATAAAACAATAGCAATAATAATAAATATAATAAAAAATTGTGCTTAGTGATAAAAAAAAAAAAAAAAAAAAAAAAAAAAAATAATGGCAAAACACAAACTAAAATCAATACGCATGTGCATAAAAATGCACATACATATATTACACGTGCAAAATGTGAAGTGAGGTCAATCTAAATAATACACACAAAACTCAAAATCCAATAATGGAATATTAAGGTGAAAAAAGTCCAATAATGGAATATTAAAGGTGAAGAAATTTTGGTTTTGGTAAACTGTGTTTCCAATATGCTGTAAGGTGACCACAGGTGAAACAAATCGTGCAGGTATCTGGGTGTAGATAACTTGTGAATCCAACCACCTTCTGGATTAGCCTCTCACCTCATCACTTCGACCCTTGCGGGTCACAGAGCAGTATGGATCTCTCTCACAGATCCTCCAGGCACCACAGCACTCCAAAACCACTTCTCAGGATACAATATTCCCACTCAGCTCTTCTCCAAGTGTAGATGAAATATCAGTAGCAGCCAGTCCACATTAAACCCTCATGCTCTCAAATGAGGATATGTGTATGTAAGTTGGGTGTACAGCTGAGTCCACAGGTGTACCAAGATGGGCCGCCACGCCGGAAATACGTCACCGCGCTACGCCGACGCGTTACGTCACAATGTCACGTGCCCTGAGCCCTGATGAAGTCACGTGACATTGTGACGTAACGCGGTGACGTATTTCCGGCGTGGCGGCCATCTTGGTACACCTGTGGACTCAGCTGTACACACCCAACTTACATACACATATCCTCATTTGAGAGCATGAGGGTTTAATGTGGACTGGCTGCTACTGATATTTCATCTACACTTGGAGAAGAGCTGAGTGGGAATATTGTATCCTGAGAAGTGGTTTTGGAGTGCTGTGGTGCCTGGAGGATCTGTGAGAGAGATCCATACTGCTCTGTGACCCGCAAGGGTCGAAGTGATGAGGTGAGAGGCTAATCCAGAAGGTGGTTGGATTCACAAGTTATCTACACCCAGATACCTGCACGTTTTGTTTCACCTGTGGTCACCTTACAGCATATTGGAAAACACAGTTTACCAAAACCAAAATTTCTTCACCTTTAATATTCCATTATTGGACTTTTTTCACCTTAATATTCCATTATTGGATTTTGAGTTTTGTGTGTATTATTTAGATTGACCTCACTTCACATTTTGCACGTGTAATATATGTATGTGCATTTTTTATGCACATGCGTATTGATTTTAGTTTGTGTTTTGCCATTATTTTTTTTTTTTTTTTTTTTGTGTTATCACTAAGCACAATTTTTTATTATATTTATTATTATTGCTATTGTTTTATTTAAGTTATTTAATTTCACATTCACTTTAATTAGTTTGAATATAGCGCAGCATTTATATGGTTTTTTATTGTCACTATATTGATGATTTATGTCATTGGATTCCACATTCACTTTTATTTTTGAATGTAGCGCAGCATTTATATGGTTTATATACACCGATGACATTCAACCAGGAGAGAAAAAAAAAAACTGATAACATTCGACCCGCAGAGAAAATACACCGATGACATTCGACCCGGAGAGAAAACACACCAATAACATTCGACCCGGAGAGAAAACACAACCGATAAACATTCGACCCCAGAGAGAACACACCGAGGACATTTGACCCGGAGAGGAAAAACACACCGATAACATTCGACCCAGAGAGAACACACCGATAACATTAGACTCGGAGAGAAAACACACCGATAACATTCGACCCGGAGAGAAAACACACTAAAAACATTCAACCCGGAGAGAAAACACACTATTAACATTCGACCCGGAGAGAACACACACTAATGACATTCGACCCGGAGAGAAAATACACCGATAACATTCGGCCTGGGGAGAAAAACACACCGATGACATTCGACCCGGAGAGAAACACACACCGATAACATTCGATTTTGCTCCCTTGCACACATGTAGTTGCCGTCTCACAGGATACATTTCCTTTTGTTTTTTTTATACATACACCCCAAAGTGTGAATCCACCCCATAAACTGACAGTCCTTGAACCCCGAGAGGTCCGACAATGAAGTGTAGGCTCGTAGGTGAACCGTCCCGGCGTGAAGATCGATCCCCAATACAGCCGCCCCCCTTCAAGGTGTCGCCAGGCCAGCACGGCTCATCCGGGGCGGTAAAATGAAGGCAGTAATTGGCTCGTCAGCTCCACACGTCCTGTACGTATCGCTTCTCGTCCCTTAGGGAGGCCAGGATCTTCATGGCCTCCAGTTTGTCCACGTGAAGCTCCGCCCCCATCATGTCTGTTAGCGTGTCGCTGACGTCTCGGGCCATGTTTTCGCATCCCTGAAAAGGCGAAAGAAGAAGAAACCATCAGAATGGAGACATTTATTATATTTCTTCTCATTTTTATGGAGATTCCAACCCGGCCACGGCACATAATCAGCCGGGGAGGAGCGTCCCTGATCTGGGTGGGTGAACCCGTACATCTCGTCAGAGCGGGGGCCCCGCGGGGGCGTGACCTGTGATGGCTGTGTCCCTCGGATACACAATGTGACACATCGGGACATGGGCTCTGCGGTTGGCCTTCCCGGTCACATGATCTCCGTGTCCAATAGAAGCCATCACTGAAATCAGAGACACGTCTCTCTACTTTTATACACACTAAAGCCATCCCCACACAATGCACCAACCAGCATCTGTCCCGTCCAAGAGTCCCGGCAACGCCTGCGCCAGTGTCCCATCAACGCCTGCGCCAGAGTCCCGGCAACGTCTGCGCCAGCTTCCCATCAAACGTCTGCGCCAGAGTCCCGGCAACGCCTGCGCCAGCTTCCCATCAACGTCCGCGTCAGAGTCCCGGCAACGTCCGCGCCAGCGTCCCGGCAAAACGTCCGCGCCAGCGTCCCGGCAACGTCCGCGCCAGCGTCCCGGCAACGTCCGCGCCAGCGTCCCGGCAACGTCCGCGCGCCAGCGTCCCGGCAACGTCCGCGCCAGCGTCCCGGCAACGTCCGCGCCAGCGTCCCATCAACGCCCGCGCCAGCGTCCCGGCAACGCCTGCGCCAGCTTCCCATCAACGCCTGCGCCAGAGTCCCGGCAACGTCTGCGCCAGCTTCCCATCAACGTCTGCGCCAGAGTCCCGGGCAACGTCTGCGCCAGTGTCCCGGCAACGCCTGCGCCAGCTTCCCATCAACGTCTGCGTCAGAGTTCCGGCAACGTCCGCGCCAGTGTCCCGGCAACGTCCGCGCCAGAGTCCCGGCAACGTCCGCGCCAGAGTCCCGGCAACGTCCGCGCCAGCGTCCCGGCAACGTCCGCGCCAGCGTCCGGCAACGTCCGCGCCAGCGTCCCGGCAAACGCCCGCGCCAGCGTCCCGGCAACGCCCGCGCCAGCGTCCCGGCAACGTCCGCGCCAGAGTCCCGGCAACGTCCGCGCCAGAGTCCCGGCAACGTCCCGCGCCAGAGTCCCGGCAACGTCCGCGCCAGAGTCCCGGCAACGTCCGCGCCAGAGTCCCGGCAACGTCCCGCGCCAGAGTCCCGGCAACGCCGCGCCAGTCACGTTTGAGAAATAACTTGTTAATATGACATTTTTGTGACAAAAAAAACAACAAATTGTATTTAATTACTATATTTTCCAAAGAATTGTGGAAAAAAAAAAATACAACTTCAAAAAACTCTCCACGCCCCTTACTAACTAGCTTGGATTTGGATTTGTGGATTTGTGCAGATGGTGGGGGTGTGGTTTGGTATTTGGGTGTGTTTTTCTTTTGGTTTTTTCTTCCTCTCATTTTTATTTATTTTATATTTTTTTTTTTATTATGTGTTTCTACAATCCAAGTGCTGGAGGTTGTTGTTTTTTTAAAACAGTTTATAAAAATATATTTTTATATACTATTGTATTTTAGTTTGTTGTAAACAAAACAAAAAAAAAACAAAAAAAAAAACAAAACAAAATGGAAAAAATAAATAAATAAATAAATGGACAAAAAAAGAACACAAAAAAACAAAACAAAATAAAAAAACACACAAAACAAACAGAAACCAAACAAAACAAAGAAAAAAAAAACAACAAAAAAAAAAACCACAAAAAAACAGAAACCAAAAAAACAAAAAAAAAAAACAAAAAAAAAAACAAAATAACCAAAAACCAAAACCAAGAAAAACAAAACACAAAAACAAAAAAACAAAAAAAAAAAAAAAATACAAAACAAAAATATAAAATAAAATAAAACCAAAGACAAAAAAAAACAACAAAAAAGAACACAAAAAAAGAAAAAAACAAACAAAAAAAATTGAAAAAACAACACCCCCACAAAAAACCCAACCAAACAAAAATAAATGGGCGGACTCGGTGGACCTCTATTACAATAGGCTGGACGGGAAGCAGTTAATGTAGAAAGAAAAAAAAAACGAAAAAGAGCCCAAATGATGACCTGACACCCCTCCCCCGCAGTACCCACCCGCACACATAGAGGGCTCCACTGGATTCGGTCAATAATCGAACGATTTCTTTAGAATAAATCCTGAGATAGTCCTGAACGTATTTTGGGTGATTCTCCTCCGTCCCGCCGGGCCCCTCCCTGGAGAAGCTGACCTTCAGGTGCGTCAGGGTGTCATTCTCAACAAAACGGCTCAGATCCTCCCTACACCGCAGAGAAGGAAAAGGTTCAAATATCTAAATACATCGAGAATGGAAAAAATAATAATCATTTTACCGAATGTGACACCTTCCTGACACCAATGATGGGGCACTATTCCTCCCACTGACACCAATGATGGGACACTATTCCTCCCACTGACACCAATGATGGGGCACTATTCCTCCACACTACACCAATGATGGGGCACTATTCCTCCCACTGATACCAATGATGGGGCACTATTCCTCCCACTGACACCAATGATGGGACACTATTCCTCCCACTGACACCAATGATGGGACACTATTCCTCCCACTGACACCAATGATGGGGCACTATTCCTCCCACTGACACCAATGATGGGGCGCTATTCCTCCCACTGACACCAATGATGGGACACTATTCCTCCCACTGACACCAATGATGGGGCACTATTCCTCCCACTGACACCAATGATGGGGCACTATTCCTCCCACTGACACCAATGATGGGGCGCTATTCCTCCCACTGACACCAATGATGGGGCACTATTCCTCCCACTGACACCAATGATGGGGCACTATTCATCCCACTGACACCAATGATGGGGCACTATTCCTCCCCACTGACACCAATGATGGGGCACTATTCCTCCCACTGATACCAATGATGGGGCACTATTCCTCCCACTGACACCAATGATGGGGCACTATTCCTCCCACTGATACCAATGATGGGGCACTATTCCTCCCACTGACACCAATGATGGGGCACTATTCCTCCCACTGACACCAATGATGGGACACTATTCCTCCCACTGACACCAATGATGGGGCACTATTCCTCCCACTGACACCAATGATGGGGCACTATTCCTCCCACTGACACCAATGATGGGGCACTATTCCTCCCACTGACACCAATGATGGGGCACTATTCCTCCCACTGATACCAATGATGGGGCACTATTCCTCCCACTGACACCAATGATGGGGCACTATTCATGATTTTTGGAACAAATTACCGGAACAGATAATCCTTCTCATGGCTGCGACAACCGAAGAACAGCCAGGACTCTCCGATGGCCCCGCCCCCGCTCTGCTGCCGAAGCTTCTCTCTGTGTGAAGACAAATCGGACGAATTAAAAGGGATCGACAAAAAAAAAGCCACCTATCAAGGCATTCTGATATTTGCATAACTCCTCCCACTGCTTGCATCTGGAGGGAGGGCTCTGGAGAGGAGTACAAGGGGCGGGGTGCTGGGATGTTTTCAGGAAGCCTGGTACAGCACACCCCTGCCGGCCCCTCCCACCAGCCACCATCTGCCTGCATGGCATAGAGAAACACAGAGAACCAGTGATGACATCACTTGGTATAAAAATAAAGTATGTAATGCAAACAGGCATTTTATTTAATAATTTTCTTTACTATGTTGATGGGGGGGGGGATGGGGGGGAGAGAGGAGGGGGATGGGGGGGGTAAAGGAAGGAGCAAGGGAGGCCAAATATAGGCAAGCTTCTCTCCACTCGCCTGTGCTGCAAAAATCCAATGAACGGTGCGACTCCGGTCCCTGGACCCACCATCACAATGGGGACAGAGGAGTCCGAGGGCAAATGGAAAGTGGAGGACGGCCGGCTGAAAATGGAGATCTGAAAAAACATTAAAAAAGGAGAATAAACACGAAATGTACAAGAAAATCCTAATTAGCAACAAAGTAACAACTGCAGATCAATACCTATTGTACAGGAGGACCCCCCCAACTCTGCACTGTACATAGAGTGTAATTCACCCTGGAGCCTTGGGAAAGGGGTGCTATACATCGATCTCCCACCTCCATCAATGAGCCTTCCCTCCCCACCTCCATCAATGAGCCTTCCCTCCCCACCTCCATCAATGAGCCTTCCCTCCCCACCTCCATCAATGAGCCCTCCCTTCCCACCTCCGTCAATGAGCCTTCCCTCCCCTCCTCCGTCAATGAGCCTTCCCTCCCCTCCTCCGTCAATGAGCCTTCCCTCCCCTCCTCCGTCAATGAGCCTTCCCTCCCCTCCTCCGTCAATGAGCCTTCCCTCCCCTGCTCCGTCAATGAGCCTTCCCTCTCCTCCTCCGTCAATGAGCCTTCCCTCTCCTCCTCCGTCAATGAGCCTTCCCTCTCCTCCTCCGTCAATGAGCCTTCCCTCCCCGCCTCCGTCAATGAGCCTTCCCTCCCCGCCTCCGTCAATGAGCCTTCCCTCCCCTCCTCCGTCAATGAGCCTTCCCTCCCCGCCTACATCAATGAGCCTTCCCTCCCCGCCTACATCAATGAGCCTTCCCTCCCCGCCTACATCAATGAGCCTTCCCTCCCCGCCTACATCAATGAGCCTTCCCTTCCCTCCTCCATCAATGAGCCTTCCCTTCCCACCTCCATCAATGAGCCTTCCCTTCCTACCTCCATCAATGAGCCTTCCCTTCCCACCTCATCAATGAGCCTTCTCTCTCCTCCTCCGTCAATGAGCCTTCTCTCCCCACCTCCATCAATGAGCCTTCCCTCCCCACCTCCATCAATGAGCCTTCCCTCCCCACCTCCATCAATGAGCCTTCCCTCCCCACCTCCATCAATGAGCCTTCCCTCCCCACCTCCATCAATGAGCCTTCCCTCCCCACCTCCATCAATGAGCCTTCCCTCCCCACCTCCATCAATGAGCCTTCCCTCCCCACCCCCATCAGTTATCCTTGGATGCCCATGACCCTGTCACCAGTTCTCCTTCCTTGGCGATTGTTACACCCCGGGTCTGATGGATCAGATGTAGCTTTGTGTCCATCACAGTTCACAAGTGGTGGAGTTCTCCATGGAGGTCCTACCTGAGGGGTGGCAGGTTCCTCGCTGGAAGGCTGCACTGTAGACAGTTTAGCGAGCCAGCCGGTACAAACACTCCTCTCCTGGGAGCCGCTCCTCCTCCACGAGGTGCAAACTCCACGATGTTGAAAACAAAATGCAGCTTTCCAGGATGAAATAAGCTGGAGCTGGAAGATGAAAAGAAGAAGAGTTGTCACAGGAAGGCCACGTAGGAGGCAGAAGAGGCAGCCATCTTGGGTGCTTCAGCACGACGGAGAAACAAAAAGAATCTGCCAACCAAGCCACTGAAGTCATTCATAGCTCACGGGGGGAGGGGGGGGGTGGCATCATCTGCAGGTCTGGATATTGGCCCCAGATATGCACGTGGTATACTTGGACAGAGGGGTGGTGGTGGATGTGGATACTTGGGA